AGGGAGCCCGATGCGGGACTCGATCCAGGGACTCCAGGATCATGACCTGAGCCGAAGGCAGTCGCTTAACCAACTGAGCCACCCAGGCGCCCAAAATATGTTACTCTTTTATGTAAAAAATGTTCTTAACCTATATACTTAAATAGGTACTAATGGTGATACAGTCCAAGACACAGAAGCTTCATAGCTCCTGTAGTTTGTAGGGGCCGACGGTGTGCGGTTTCCCCCACCATTTTTCCTCAGTCACCCCGTTCCCCTTGCAGAGCCAACCAGGTTATCAAGTTTGCATATACCTATAGTTATTCAAACTACCTCATCTTTTTAACTTCGTATCATTGCATCGTATAGTTTTAACTATCTTCTCTCAGGTCATTCTCTGTTCTGCTACTGTAAGAATTGCCCTCGTCAGTGTACTCTTGTGGGCAGGGCAGAGGAGAAGGAAGGAGTTTTCTTTGGGTGCCTCCTACCTTCTTGTACCTCTGAGGGTTGAGGACTTGGCTTTTCTCCTGACACGGGCTCTCCTTTTCTGGTCTTAGGTAGGCTTGCTCCCCGTGTCCCAGTGTAGGCTGTCCTGGGTCCCTTATGGGATGGGCCCTGGACATCTCTGATGGTTTTGAGTATGTCACCCAAGGAGAGAAATCCATGCTGTGACCTACCCTGCCACTCCTCATCAGCCTGTCCTGCTGGGGCCTGGTCCTCCCCCACACCCCCCAGAAGAGACTGCAGCCTTCCTCCCCTTCTAGATCCTCCTCTCCCAGAGAGTATAACTACTATGGGGACACATGGATGTGGGTCATCAGAGGGCATCTCAGTGGGTAAACCCAATGCGTCTGTTTCTCATCTTCCCCTGAGAAGAGCATCAGGACTCTGGTCTCATTCTGGGCTCTGGGCGAACAGAGCCTCAGGCAGATGACTCCATGTCCTCAGATCCCACAGCTGGTGAGGTGGGCCTCACCCTGGGATTCTGAGTCGAGTCCACACAGAGCCACTAGAACTAGTGCTGACACGGACACTCAGGTCACCTCGTTGCTCTCAGTGAGCCCAGAGGGTGGACTAGGTGGCCTGGATCTCCCCCAGTTTTCTTCGCTGCCAGGATAGTGGCATCCCTTGAGGAGGCTGGCGCAGGGCATGTCCCCATCTGGCCCTCTTTGAGGGCCGCCTTTCTGTGCTCACAACTGTTCTCGTCCTCCTGCCCCAGCCACTTCCCCGTCTCCTGCCCGGACCCTGAGCACCCCTCCCCACAGGGCTCTGGGCAGGCTGTCCCCGCTTGCGGGTGTGTGACCTGGGGAGACTGTGAGGTTGTTTGCTCAGTTGTGAAACGGAGTGAACCCTACCAGGCTGCGTGTCTGGCGAGGCTTAGACAAGCTAATATAGGAAGCGCGAAGCACAGGGGTAGCTCCAGTGCCCACGGGGGGTAACTTCTAGCCCTTTCCATTGAGGAACCGTCTCCACAGTCAGGCAGCCAGCTTGGCCCCACACACCAGGGACTCAAAGCCCTCAACTGAGCATGTTGCCCGCTCCCTCCGGGGCGGGGCGGGGGGTTCTGGGGAACATGCTGAGTCAGCATGGTGACATCATCCCACTCTCTCTCTTTTGTCTCCTGCAGGTTTGGTAAGAGTGATTCATTTTCATCCCCTCTGCCACCTGGGAGAATCGTGTTTGTGTTGCTGTCCCTGTCAGGGGTGGATTTCCTTGACCCTCTCTCAGCCTACTCGGCCTTTCCACCGTCCAGCAGCAGAGGTGCTGGGAAACGCCTCGGGAAATAGCCCTCGGACAGGTGGCCTCAGCCCAGCCAGGAGCCGCTCTCTGTGAAGCAGAGGCCTGGAGAGCATCTTGGGCCGTGGACAGTCCCCACTCAGGCCCTGTCTGTAGCTGGCCATCCCCACAGGTGACCTCTGGCAGGGAGCCTTGCATACTGGGCTGCTGCAGTCACCCAGAGGCGCGCCATCGGTCTGGTGTAGGTGGATGTCAGCTGATGTCCTGGGACCCCTCTTCTCAGGAGAGAGGCAACCCAGAGGCAGGAATGTGGCTTGACTCTGCATGAGGCCCCAGGAGATGGGAGGGTGTGAATGGGAAGGCCCCTTTGGGAGGCGCGGAGGGAGCCCCAGCGGCCCCTGATCCCTTTTTCCAGCCGTCCACCTCCAGGTTGGAAGCAGGGACTTGCACTGGGCTGTGCTGTAGGGCTTCTCTCTCCTGAGGCAGAGCAGAGGGCAGCAACCATGCCTCTGGGGTCTGCTTTGAATTATATCCCTGGAAATGCAGAGATGTCTGGTTTGGGCCTGAGCAAAATAGCCATTTATTTTTGTCCCATCCTGAGCTGGCTAAGCGGAGTGACCGAGCTGTCAGCAGGGTCTCAGTGACAGCGGGGGGGGGCAGGATGGCAGGCCAGAGCTCTGCCAAAATGAAGCTGGCTGCCAGCTCACCATGGGGGCATAGGGTGAGCAAGGAGGGAGGCTGCGCTGCCCCTTCCCTGGGGCACGGGAGCAAACTTCAGCACCTTGGGGGAGAATCGAGCACCCACATCCCTGGGACAGCCCGTCCTGTCAGCCTCCCGGTTGCTGCAGTAACTCAGGGACCGCAGCAGTGAGACTTCAGGGCGAGTGTTTCATCTAGATCTGGGGCACCTGATGCCTGACCCACGTGCCATCTCCCCTCCGTCCTGTCCCACGCCCGCAGCAGACATTACAAGTCAATCATAGCGAGTATATGTGGTTGAAATCTCGTTTTTCTAGAGTCCCTTTCTCTTAGGCTGGCAGCCTAACCCCTTTTGGACCCATGTGCTTTGCTGGCTTTGGCTGGTCCCAGGAGGGTGTTGGGACAAGTCAGCCCCAGAGCAGACGTGCCAGAGAGAGCTGGGCTAGTGTGATGGTGGGTTCCTGAATCACCACGGGGTAGAGAGGGCCCTTTGGTCCTGATCAGACTCCCCTTGGTATGGAAGGAGGAGTCAGCACCTGCAGCTCGCCCTCTCTATGTGCTCAGGTATATGGTACTTGGCATTAGGTGAACCAGCACTTAATGAGCATAGGTGTGTGCCCGGCCAGCACATTTTGGAGGGGGGGGTTGTTGCCGACTCCGAGGACAGGAGACAGCCGCACATCCCTCAAGCACCATGTTCCTGACTTATCTGGGTTATGGTTCCTTCTGATAACTGGATAACAGTTTAGATCCTCCTTCCAGGGAAAAGCCCACAAAGCTTACCAGTCCACAGTGTTTCCCAGAACCCCTGAAGCCCATCAGGACACAGTTGAGAGCCCGTCCTCCAGGGGGAGCTAGGCGGTGCTGAGTAGGGGCAGAAGCAGGCCCGGGAAGAGGGGGAGGAGCAGGGGTGCCCAGGCAGAGACAGGGCAGGAGGCGGTGGGACATGTGGGCTGCCATGAAGGGGTCGCCTCCAGCTGCCCCTCCACTGCCTGACCTGTAAGGCATGAACACTGGGGATGCTGTTCTAATGGGGAACGCAGGATTAGGACAGGGAGAGCCTAGGGTGCCCTCCAGGAAGGCAGACGGAATGCTCGCCTCAAAGCTCGTGGCCTGAGTGAGACTCCTCTGGAAGCCAGTGGGACTGGCCCATGTGGGGCTCTGGTGAAGCTTCACCGTGTCCTTGCTCTGCCTGTCAGGGTCTGGCACTGGAGGCTCTGAGAGCAAAATCTCCAAGTGCTTGTGGTTGTAAAGGTACTGGGTGTGCTAACCAGCCCCAAGCCGTCTGCCGGTGAGGGCCAGAGACCTCCTACCCGCTAAACAAGAGACCAGCATTAAGCGCTTGCAAACAGTGACCTATGGATGCGTCCATGCGGGAGTGCAAGAGGTGGACATCGGTGGACATCGGTGGAGACTTCTGTCCTCACCATTGCTTTGCCTTCTGCCTCTCAAGGCTGCCTTCCCCTGAAGCTAGGAGCCACACAGGGATGGTTTCCGAACCATGGGCGGAGACCAGGCAGTAGCATTCCCAGGAATAGCAGGGCCAAGCATGAGCTACGCTGCCCCGTTGGTCTCCCTGGCCTGTCCCTGTTTTGAATGTTCAGGGACACCTTTATCTACTGTTCACTAAGTCCTCTCACCCACCCAGCCTGTGATCTGTGACCTAGAGGGCCACGGAAACAGGCCTCCTCAGCCGACCTGGCCTCTTTCCCTGCAGATCTCCCACATGGATCCCCACAGATGGTACGAAGGGATATCGGGCTGTCGGTGACTCACAGGTAGGTCCAGCCAGGCTGGGATGGGGGGGTGGTGCCCAGAGCTGGGCTGGGGCCTGCATGGGCTGGGGCCCCCACTGAGGGGTCGCTCTTCATGGCGGCGGGGAGATCTGTCCTGATCCCTGTTTCTCAGGGCTTTTTGCCTCTGGTCTGTCCATCACCTCTGTGAACACAGCCCTGCACCCACCTGGAGCCGCTACCCGTCACCAGTGGCTGTATGGGCTTGCTGGACCCTCCCCGACCCCACCCCTGCACTGAGGGAAAACACAGGCCTTGGTCTCAGGGAGGAGGAGCTGAGAGCTTCCTGCAGGTCCAGCATGAGATCATGCGGGGCCTACAGCTGGCCGCACATCAGAGCCCATGAAGCTTTGAAACCCCAGACTCCCGTGACCCATCCCTAAAGTTCTCGGCTTGGCAGTCTGGATTTCCAACAACTTCTAGGGACTCTGGTGGCCGGTGCGTGTTGGCATGGGCTGATATGGGCCCACGACATGGACTGGCCCGAAGGCTTGGCCTCAGCACCTGTGAGGCTGGCGTGTGTCACAAACAGCAGGTCTGTCATGCTGGACAACCTGCAAAACGACGCCTCGGGTTGCCTGTGCCCTGGCCGTCCCTGCTAAAGGCTGTCGGGAACACAGCAGGGCACGCTTGTCAAGAGCTTTGCGACTTGTAGCGGCCTTTTGTTTCCCCCTGGAGCATGAGCTGAGCTGCAGTGAGCCTGGGAGCCTGGCCTGGAATTCTTGCCCAGAGGTGGAGACCCGCTGGGGCTCTGGGGCCTGAGTAATTTGCCTGAGGTCAAGCTGCCGGTTAAGATAGCGCTTGAGTCCTCTGGCCGGCGCCCAGGCCCCTCTGGGGACTCGTCAGGGCTGATCCCTGTACACCGGAGTCTTGCGGAAGAGAGGCTGTGGCTGAGGTACCACGATGGAGACCCCTAGATGCATTACAAACCGTTCTGTGTTCGGTTGTTACTATGATAGGCTCTGCTTTCAAAAAAATCTGTTCCTCCAACAATGTGAGTTCTTTCTGCCCTTCGGCCTCTCCACCCTGTGGACTGCCTTAGACTTTTTCTGCTTTTTCTCTGCCGGACAGCACCCACTCAACCCCTGTCCTTCCTTCCAATCTATCTTTTGTGTTTTTTTAACTTTTTAATTTTTGATTTAGTTTGGATTGAAAGATGTTCAAAAATCAAGAGGTGAAGAGGGTTATCCACGCGCTCCCCTCCTGCTGCTGCCCCCAGCCCTCTGGGTACCCCTGTAGGCAGATCTTGGTGGTTTCTTGAGATATTTTTATACAAGCAAATACGTATGTGTATTATACACACTGTTCTATTCTTTGCTTCTTTTCTTGTAAAGATGGAGGCATCATTTACGTAAAGCTGACAGCCCAAATGCATTTTTACATATGGATACACCCATGTGTACCGCCCAGGTGAAGCTCCAGAGCATTCTAGCCCTCCAAAAAATTGATCTTTGGCCCCTCCAGGTCCATCACACTACCGCCCAGGGGTTACTGTTCACTTCTGTCCTCATTGGTTACTTTTTCCTGTATTTGAACTTCATATAGATGGAGTTATGTTGTACTTTTTTCCCTGATAATGTAATTTGGAGATCATTCCGTATTTGCACAAAAAGAGCTTTCTTATTTTGTTTCCTGGCCCCACGGTGTCCAATGGTGCAGTTGGATGGTACTTTGCATCGTCAGCCGCCTGTCACCTCAACAGCACACAGGCTGTTCTCAGTTTTTTACTGCTGCAGACCCGCGGTGGGGAGTAACCTTGTCTGTACCTCATTGGACACCCGCGGGAGTGTCTGTTGGATCAATTCCTACGACGGGAATCGCTCGGTATGCGCACTTGTAATTTCGATGGCTGCTGCTGGAGAGCTGGCATCTGTGACCACACTGACTGGGATTTTGGCAAGGATGACATTGTGGCTGGGAACTCTGAATGCCCAGGAGCAGGCAGTGGGCCTGGGCATCCCTGCCCTGGGAGAGGGCACCGGTCGCTCCGGGATGGAACCCAGTCTCCTGGTTTCCAGGCTCTGGTCTCTGAGCCACTGAGCGTTTTCCTGTGTCCACCTCCTGCAGGTTCTCCACCAAGTCTTGGCTGTCCCAGGTCTGCCACGTGTGCCAGAAGAGCATGATGTTTGGAGTGAAATGCAAGCATTGCAGGTGATGCGCGGAGGGTGGAAGGGGTGGGAGAGGCGAGTGAACTCCATACATTTAGTTTAGTACGAGTCCTACTACTTGATTCATCTTGGCCTTAGGTTAAGTCAGAGTTCACGGGAACCCCTTTGAGAGTTCTTAAAGCTACTATTTATAATCCCATTTGGCACACTGTGGTATAATCAGCCCTCTCTAGAGAGATGAAGGAAGCATCGAGCAGGCATTCCCAGAAGAAGGGGAAATTTGAGGTGGGTTTTGAAGGTTGAGTAGAAGTTTACCAGGGAGACCAAGGAAGAAAGAGCATTCCAGGTATTGTACCCTGTACAAAGTCCGAGAGGAGTGGGAGGACTTTTCTGGAAACTCTGCGGAGTTCTGAAGTTTATCCTCATGTGTTAGCACACAAGATGGGGAGAAGGGTCAGGCGGGGGTGAAAACAGAGATGGCTCGTGGTGTTCACAGAAGAGGAGAGTTCAGGGAGAATGTTGCTTCTATACAAACACAGCTTTCTTGTTTCGTACCATTGTGCTTTCTGGTGGGACAGAAGGACAAGGAAGGGAACAGCGCTGGGGGCAGAGTGTCCTTTGTTGCTTGCAGAGGATGGACCTGGAGTCTCTGCTCCCGGATCACTGCCCCTCCATTACTTTGTGACCTGGGGCAAAATGCTTGCTCTTTCTGGGCCTCATTTTCACAACTGGGCAGATGATTCCAGGTCCTTTATCTATCAGGATGGCTTCCAGATTCTGAGCTAGTGTGTGTAGGAAAAGCATTTAGGCTCCCGCCAGACCAGAGGCGACAGGTCTCATGCATGTCCGTTGGATAAATGGTGTTTTCCTGATGACTCCCCTGACCACCAAGGAGACACCACCAGAACTTTCCACCAGTCTAGGTCTTCTGTGGCTCCTGGCTTTATACTGGGGACCTCCCGCTCCCTTTCAAAATGCCTTTCACACGGAGAGCGTAGAATGACCTCTGAGCCCCACGCTCTTCGACGATCGTGGTGTGAAGTTGGTAGGGCCCCACTGTCAACCCATTTGATTGTTGAGAACCCCAAGACAGGGTGCAGCAGATAGGACCAAACTGAGGGCCTAGGTCTTTCCATTTGGGCCTGTGCTGACCCTCAGACCATGTGGCCCGTGTTGGAATGCAGCGGGAGGGGCCGCCGCTTGCATCCCTGGGATTCCTTGGTCATGTAGACACTCTCTCCTTCTGATTTATCTTTTTTGTAAGTTCAGATTTTTGTCTCCAGTTTTCTGAATGTGAGTGGAGGGTGTCCTTTTCTTTAGAGAAGAGAAATAGACGTGTGACCCACAACAAGTTAAAATGGGTATGATTAAAACTGCTTTGCTGGGAGGTTAGGCAGACAGTAGCTGCTAGGACGATCAACGTGGAATATTCCAGACGTCTGGGTTAATGGTTGTTGAGAAGTGCGTGGAGATCAAGGCAGTCGAGAGTGAGGGTTGCCCGGAGCCCCCGTGCATGCCCTGGGAGCCCCGAGTAGCCCTCCGTGCACTGACCCTGCTGCCTTCTTTCCACAGATTGAAATGTCATAACAAGTGTACAAAGGAAGCCCCTGCCTGTAGAATATCCTTCCTCCCACGTGAGTGTTCCACTCTTCTCTGCTTTCGGGGGCTGGGGTGGACTTTTCTGTAGCTTGATCTGCTCCCTGCTAATGGTTCCCCCTTTTCCTTTTTACCTAGAACCTAGGCTTCGGAGGACGGAATCTGTCCCCTCGGATATCAACAACCCGGTGGACAGAGCAGCTGAGCCCCATTTCGGAACCCTCCCCAAAGCACTGACAAAGAAGGTATACGGGCGGTGGCACACCGGTCAGCTGCTTCTGCCGGGAGAAGCGCCCCCTGCCCCGGGGCTCCTCCTATAATGTGGGGGTCTGGCAGGGAAGCGGGGCATGCAACCCAAGGCCAGAGGGTGGCCTTCAGGGATCCTGTCGTTAGCCATTTCATAGACTTCATGTTGATGTCCAAATCGTAGTTAATTGCCCGTGACCTCCTTCCCCAGTTGAACGGAACATTTCCCGGGCACTTACTGTGAGTCGGGAACTTTTTTCATTGATCTTTCTTTTTATCTTCACAATAGCTCTAAAAATCACATGCTGCTCTCAGCTCCATTTTAGATGAGGACCCTGAGCACAGGGCCCCCCTGTGAGCGAGGGCAGGCCCGGAGCAGGGCTCCTCTGCCGATACACAGATTTGAAAGGAGAGTCTAACAGGCCTTTCGCGGCCCCCAGACACAGGAGTGCATGGTGTCTGTAAGACGTCTGTGCTCGTGGTGGCTTCGGATGGCAGCCCCCTGGTGACCGTGCAGCTGGTGGCCTCCCGCCGGGCTGCTGCTGGTGTGGCTGTGGGTTTTCAAGTGTGTTGTGCCCCAGCCCCAGAGCAGGGCTTAGCATGCCCTTGCCTCCGTACGGAGGGGCATGCGACTGGCTTCTCCGTGGCTTGGGCCAGACTGGGTAGAGGTTGGGGCGGGGAGAAGAGAAGCAGGTGGTACGGCCCATTAACACCAGGGACCCAGAAGGTGCAGCTCGGGGGTCACTGCTCCACATCTTACTGCCCGACAAGGGAGGCCAGTGCCTCAGAGCTGATGGCGCTTATGGGCCCGCTCGTGTCCTCTCTCAGCCTCCCTCCGCCTGTCATTGCATTTCCCCCCACGGTGGTGTTCCCACCAGGGATAGAGAGGTGGAGTGGAGAGGTGCAGGACCACAGCTGAGCTCCAGTCCCGACTCGTCAGTCCCCTTTCTTGTCTGTGGGACCTTGGGTGAGTTCCCTTACCTCTCTGAGCCTCAGCTTCCTAGTGTGGAAAGTGGGGATAATCATGCTTCGTTGACAGGGTGTTGTAGGGGTAACGAGGGGACAGACATTCACGAACTTGCTTGTCTGGAGCAGCGTTGTCCAGCCTGTCACAGATACACACTTCCTCGCGAGGGACGCTAGGCAGCCCCGTCTGCCCCTCCCACCCTGCCAGCATTGTAATCTTGTCTGGCAAACACCAGACGAACCCCCCTATTTACACCGTCCCCCCACACCCACACTTGTCAGTTCTTCAGAACCCACTCAGAGCCCCTCCTCCTCCAGGAGGCCCTCCTGCACGCACCTGCCCGGCCCTGACCTGACATAGTTCTGGGTGGTGCCTTCTCTTACCTCACCGAGGGCACTGACCAGCTGTCGTCCTTCCCTCACCCCGATTTATGGTCATTCTCATAACACGAGCTAATGGTCACTGAGTTCTCGCCAGGCACTGTGCCGAGGGCCGTGCATTTGGCCCAGTCATCTCAGAGGCCGGCCTGTCTCTCCAGCCTCTTCTGTAGCTGCCCTTGCTCAGAGTGGCTCTGCCCACTCCTACCTCGGGGCCTTGGTTGCCACCCCACCATTCCCTCTGCCTGAAACACACTTCTCAGCATTTACACACTCAGTCCTCGGGGAGGCCTTGCCGGGATGCGGGCTGAGGACCAGGGTCCCTGGCTGCCCCACGCCCTTCCCAGTGTTTCGTGGCCCGGCTGCAGGGTGTGGTCCCCTGTCTGCCTGCTGAGGACCTGTGTCCCGGCAGGTGGCTGCTCTGGAGGGCAGGGCCTCGTTATCTTGCTCCCGCCTGGTCCCTGGTGCCTGCGTCGGAGTCCAGCACACAATACGCAGTGTGGACGTGTTGGTAGTAAACACTGAGCCCATGAAGCAGCAGCAGATACCCCCATTTTATCGAGAACCACTGTGGCTCAGAAAGGTGGGCTGATTTGAACCAGGTCACATGGGTGCTGAGTGGAGGAGCTGGGATTCAACCTGCCTCGTAGCTACTCCCCCTCCCCGGGCTGGCCCAGCCCTGAGGAACAGGGATCACTGCGGGGTCACTGCAGGGTGAGCGGGGAGAGGAAGGGCTCAGGGGACCCAGCTCCCTCCCCCACCGGCCTGTGGCACCAGGTGGTAGGGGCTGTCCCTGGACTGTGAGACCCACTGTAGCTTTGGTGGGTTCTGGGGTCCCCTGGACACCCAAGAGCCTTTAGGGCCTGCAAAAGAGAAACCTGTAGAACTCAGCCTTTAACCTAATTTGGCCCCAACTTTTTGTTTTAAAGATTTTATTTTTAAGTAATCTCTACACCCAATGTGGGGCTTGAACTCACAACCCCGAGATCAGGAGCTGGCTTAGTCGGAAGAGCATGCAGCTCCTGCAACTTTCTTGGCCAAGGAATTCCAACCCTGTCCCCTGAGAGATTGGAGTTTGAGTCTGGGAAATCGGTCAGGGCCAGAGTCCCACCTGCAGCCCTCTCTCCGCTGGCCCTTTGACCTTGCTAGGGCCCAAACCCCTGGGCAGTCCTAGCCAGTAGGTCTGCAAAAGAGTGGAGGGAGCATTTATTAGACACCACTGTGTACCACACACTAAACACTTGTCAGAGACTGTATTCATTAAAAAAAACCCTGCTGTGTGCTCTGCTCAGAGCCAAGCACTGGGTGTATGATGAGCAGGCGCGGTCCCTGCCCTCACAGGACACACAGAATTTTCTGAAATTCTTCAGAAAACCCCCCAAGATAGATGCACTTGACAAAGTTCAAGTGCCCTGAGGAAGAGTGCTATCTATAGGAGGATAAGGAGGAGGAGCATGGTCCCCACTGGGCTTGAGAAGGGCTTCTGGGAGGAAAGTATGTTTGAGCTCAAGAAAGATGAGCAGGAGTCCCTTAGGGGATGGGCATCAAGGTGAGGGTCTTGAATATTAGACCAGTAAAATGTCAGGATGCCCTGGGCAGACTACCTCGTTTTCAGGCAGGAGGGGAGGGTTTCAGCATGGGGCATGGGAGGGGCAGGCCAGGCAGGGCCGTGACAGTCCCTGCCCACTTCTGGTGTCTCTGGTCCCACAGGAGCATCCTCCGGCCATGAACCACCTGGACTCCAGCAGCAACCCGTCCTCCACCACATCCTCCACGCCCTCCTCGCCGGCACCCTTCCCAACATCATCCAATCCATCCAGTGCCACCACGCCCCCCAACCCCTCTCCTGGCCAACGGGACAGCAGGTTCAACTTCCCAGGTACCACACCTCGGGGCTTTTATGTGCCTTCAGGATGGGGTCCAGTGTCCCTTCTCAGCACACACCAACAGGCTCAAGGTCAAACATTGCCACCACTAAGAGCCTTTACCAGGAGCCAAGCGCTGTGCCAAGCTCAAGTATGTTACCGTATTTACACCTGATGAGAGCTCTGCGGTAGGTGCTGTTACCACACCCATTTTACAGATGGGGACACTGAGGTTCAGAGGAAGTGGCTCGCCCTGAGCTTTATAACACGTAAGGGACAGAGCCAGGATCAAAGCCAAGTCTGTCTGGCATAAAGCCTGGATTCTTGACACAATCCCCATACTGCCCTCCTGTGCATGGGATCTCATGGGCATTGTTCACTCAGCTTCTCAGCGCTCATAAAGCCTGGCAGGAGCACAGGGAGCTGGGGCAGGCCCAGAAGGCCTGGGAGAGGGACTGGGGCTCGATTGCTTACCTGCTCTGTGATCTGAATAAGCTGCTTAAGGGGGAGCTTTTGTTCCCTCTTTGTTCCCATAAAACAGGAGACCCCCGTGAAGCTGGGATTAGGTTATTCCCACTGTGCAGATGCGGACACTGAGTTTCAGGGGGAGTGCATGCTCTGTAGGGCCCCGTCTCTCAGCCAGGCCTGGGGCGTCCCACCTCTCCAAGGTACAGAGCAAGGCCCACTCGCCTATTTCAGGATGAGCCCAGGCCTTGGCCCCCCCTGGCAGCTCCTTGCAGCTGGTCTTGACCCTCTGGGTATTTCGGTTGGCAGCCAGGAGGAAGGAGCAGCCCCTGGGACACTCCAGTTTGCTCTGGGCCTGGTCAGGTCAGGCCCCACCTGTCACTGGCCCTTGGGGCTCCAGGCCCGGGAGGACAGAGGCACAGCTTTTTCTGTGCCAGGCGACCCTTAGCTGGGGCCACGTGCAGCCAGCAGGAGACCAGGCAGCCTCTCTAGACCCATTTTTACCAGGGCCCTAGGGATTTCTTTCAGGGGTGCTGGGAGACTGAGATTTTGTAGGAATCTTTTCTCTTTTGCCATGCGCCTGGCTGGAGATCTCCTGCATCGTCCCGAGCACACCCATCCCCCCCGCAATGGAGCCACAGCCCATTGGAGTGACCGTCTCTTTGCACTCTGCTCTGTCATTATGCTCTGAAACTGGATCTTTTGCTAAACTTCTAGCTTGGGTTTTTCTAAAAGGAAGGCCCTGTTTGAAAAACAATAGCCACAGAAAAAGTCCATTTTGTGATGTCAGCCAGAGCCTCTCAGCTTTCCCTGACGTCTGTGGGCTGGGCCCTCATTGTCCTTTGCACAGAGCCCTCACTCTGTCCAGGATCTATGATCTTGCTGGTCATGGCCGTGCCTGGGGCCTGGCCCTGTGGTTAACCTGGGGAAGGAATGACTCCTACCATGTACCCACTCTGTACTCTGGGGGGGGCATTTCCATTTATGTCAAAGAATAAACCTGGGGAAAGGCTATCTGTACCCCTGTTTTACCATATGACAGCTCTCAGAGTCCAGACCCCCAGCGCATCCCCTTTAGTCCCGATTAAGAGAGGTGGGTTTTTGTTCTGTTTTGGATGGTGAGGTCGGGTTGCTGAGGCCTCAGCTCCTCTGGGGGTGAGTGTGGGGCCAAGGGAGGCCGCTTCTCTGCACGCGGCCCAGCCGGCTTTCACAGGCACTATTTCCTCCCCCTTGTGTCTCACCCTTCTGGGCTCACATGCACTTGACAGAGAAGCGAGCCTGGGAGGCGAATGGAATGGGCCAGGCCTCTGCGGCAAGTCCTCCGGGGCCAGCCCCTTCCCTGCTGGGGGCTCCTGCTAGCACCCATTTCCTTCCAGCTCCCTTTCTCCTTCCTGCATGGGTCACCCTGCTCTGCCCCACCCTGTAACCAGCCCCCCTCGCCAAGCCCCTGCATTTGCTGTTCTGTGTGTGTGACTCACCTCCTCTTCTGTTTAAAGCTGCCTACTTCATTCATCATAGACAGCAGTTTATCTTTCCAGGTGAGTCCTCTGCATGGTTCCACTAACTGCCCCTTGCCGTGAGCCCTCTGTCCAGCCCCCCTGGGCACCCTCTCCTCTCAGGTGCCTGAGTCTCACATACACTTGTTTTGACAGCTGACTGTGTATTACGGCTGGGAAAGGGAGCAGGGTGGGTCGCCTTGAGGGGGGTCCTTCACAGGGGCAGTGATCTGCTGGGAGGGCCCTTGGCATCTGCCCTGTTCAGCCTCTTGAACAGAGACTACAGGCAACCTACCCAGGGTCACACGGCTGGGAGGTGGCAGAAATCCTGTTTGCAGAATGAAGGGAGAGACCTTTCTGCCAATGCCTTATGAGCATCTGTTAGGATATCTTCCCCCTACATCATGACAAGGAAGCTACTTAGAGAAGCTATCTTAGAAAGAGAAGCCAGTTTGGAAAAGTCTGCGAGTTTCACCTTCCTGAGCCTTGCTGCCTCTCGCCATCTGCTGGCGATAAGATAAAATGCAGCTTTATTTTAGAAAGTTTCAAGGAGACAACTTTCAATCTCATTGATTCCCTTCCACAAAAATTGTTTTGCCCACCCACTACGTGCCAACCTTTGCATTTGGCCATATTCCTGCCCCCAAGGAGTTTATGTGGTTAGTACTTATTTCTCCAGCTGAGGATGACAAGCATTCGTATACGTAATCGGCAACCTTAATTCTTAATTTAGCCATATGAAGTCTCAGTGTGTTTAGACAAAGACTGTAGCTAATTGTTTTTCTCCTGGGTTAAACAGACCTGTCTTGAAGTCATGATATTTTGGTTAGTCCGGGCTTTTCTGTTCTCCAACCCAGCTCCATTAGGGGAGCAATTTGGGGCATTTGTAAGTTCTTACAGGACTATCCGTATGGCTTTGGCCAGGTGTGCGCAGGCTAGGAGGGGTCAGGGACTTCAGTGCTAAAACTGGGAAAGCCCCGGGCTCGGGGTCAGCCCCACCTGCCCAATATCCGGGCCCCTGTAGGTGTGGACTGTGCATTTCTTCCTCTCCGCTGAGAACTGCTCCGCCAGTCTCCCAAACCTGGAAGCCAAGGGGGCGGGGCCTCTGGCTCCCACCAGAAATGCCAGCTGCTGAGCCAGGCACCAGGTGTCGCTACTGAGCCCCCTGCGAGCCCTGCCCTGGGCCTCTGCTGGCCTGAGCCCCCCACGAGTCTTACTGCTCTCAAGGGCTGTTGTAACCAGCTGCTGCCTCTGAGCAGACCCCCCCACGTCCAGTCAGTAATGCCCAGTTTGCTTTTACCACTTGCTCCTAGGGGGCAGTTTGGCCGCAGGGGAATGGGGTTCACTGGAGAATCTCAACCTCCTCCCTCGCCTGGAGGCCCTTTCCAGCACCCAGCTGTGTGGGCAAAACCAAGTGCTGTGAAGGTTGCATCCTTGTCCCGTTTGAGGAGTGGCAGTGGCCGGGTGAACGGGGACGCGGCCCTGTAAGGGGCTGGCCACGCAGGGAGGAGCCACTCCACTGGGTGGGCCGACTTCACAAGCTCTGTGTCCTTTGGGGGAGGGGGTGGGGGAAGGGGGTCTCAGGCCTTGTGTTTGCTTTTTGTTTCCTCTAGACATTTCAGCATTTCCACAGGCAGTCCCATCCCCTGATGCGGCAGACAGCACCCGGTAGGCCTCCTATTCTGTGTTCTCTTTCTTTTCCGTGGGGACTTGTTAAAGGTTGGCCTGCACCCCTGGCCACCTCCCACCCCGCCTCGTGTGTCCGACCTCCCGCTCTGGACGCTGCCGTGTACCTGGGCCAGCCGGGTGGGGTACTTCTTGGGCTAATTGAACTCGGCCAGAGGGTTTTATTAGCCTCCTGTGGGTGCAGTCTGCATGAGGAGGGATACGTGTGAACCTGGGGCAGTCTTATGACCCAGGAGAGGTGGGCAAAGGCCACTCGGAGTTAGAGACACCTACTAAAAATAGCTCCTGTTTCCGGAGCCCCTTCCCCATGTCTGGCTCTGCTGAGCCCTTGACTCCCGTTTCCTCACATAGTCCTCAGCCTGGTGAAGGTAGGTATCGCAGCAGGTGTCATCCTTAATGTACGGAGGCAAAAGCCCCCACAGAGAGGTTAAGAAATTACATGAAGTCACACAGCTAGGAGGTGATAGAGCTGGTTCTCAAGTAGAAGTTCAAGTCCCGTGTGTGTGTGTGTGTGTTCATTCAGAACCCCGTGTACCAGGCTTCAGATTTGAAAGGGCCTTGGTGGTTCCTGCCCACCCCTCATTCCCCACCACCCTCAGGTTAGTCTGAAGAAGGCCGAGGCCAAAGAAGGGAAACGGGGTTTGGTCTTTAGCCTCCTGTCTGGTTCTTTGGCATCCATACTGCCTTTCCCACCAGCAGGTGGGTCACAGTAAGGATGAGGGCCCAGTAGCCCTCTCTCAGACCTCACCTGGGAGTGCCCTGCCTAGCTGAGAACAGAGTGGCCCGCACTCAGGGTCTCCCTGACAAACTGTTTGATTCTTAGGCTCGACAACCAGCCAAAAGCAGACGTGTTGGAGGATCACGATGTGGAGGTGAGTGAGGATGACGCACAGCCCGGAGACCCTGCCTTCTCTCTCCTCTCCTCCTCGTCTCAGCACACACACAGGGGTGTGGGGAGCATGTGGGTGCCAGGCCCTGGCAAGGGCCATCTTAGGAGCCCACTGCGGGCAGGTGCGTAGCAAGGAGCAATGATGAGGAATGCAACGAAGCAGGCTTCTTTTTGGTTTTTTATTTTTGAAGCTAAAGTAAGCTCTCAACTCTCATGGTTCCCACCCTAGCCCAAGGCCCCCCAGGCCCAGCGTGGGAGACTCTAGTTCAGTCCGTCTGGGGTGGGGCCAGGCATCTGTATGATGTCAGAGGCCCCCAAATGATTCTGATCGTAGCCAGGCCCAGGGACCTCTGTGTTAGTCCTTGAACCAAAGTATCAGCTGAACCTGCTCCCTGGCCATGCAGTGTGGCTTAGAATGTTAACTGACTGCTTCACTCCTGCCTGGAGGACAGTCAGAAACCCAGTTTAAACAAAGGAATGCCCAGAAAGGATAAGTGGGGTCAAATTCGTCTATGCCAGGGGATGTTAATGCTTTTTCCTAGCGATTAGATGTCCTTCATCAGTAGATCTTGGAGCATTCTTGGGAAGAAGGGCCTCAGGGCCCACCTGGGCCACGTGCCATGTTTTGTTGGTGAGGACATCGAGGCCCCATGGTGCTAAGTGACCCGCCCACTGTCCACAGCAAGCCAGTGCAGAGCTGCAACGAGAACCTGGGCCTCCTGACCCCATGCCTCTCTCCTGGGGCTCTGGGGAGGGCGAGTTGGCTGACCCCAGATCCGCTGCCCCTCTCTATGCTTTCCCCCTCCTTCCAGGCCGAGGAGCCAGAGGCCGGCAAGTCAGACGCAGAGGATGACGAGGACGAGGTGGACGATCTGCCCAGCTCCCGCCGGCCCTGGCGGGGCCCCATCTCTCGCAAGGCCAGCCAGACCAGTGTGTACCTGCAGGAGTGGGACATCCCTTTTGAGCAGGTGGAGCTGGGCGAGCCCATCGGGCAGGGCCGCTGGGGCCGGGTGCACCGCGGCCGCTGGCACGGCGAGGTGGCCATCCGCCTGCTGGAGATGGACGGCCACAACCAGGACCACCTGAAGCTGTTCAAGAAGGAGGTGATGAACTACCGGCAGACGAGACACGAGAACGTGGTGCTCTTCATGGGGGCCTGCATGAACCCGCCCCACCTGGCCATCATTACCAGGTAACCAAGCCCCTGCCCGCCCCCACCCTTTCCCCAGGGGCCCCATTGTTTGCCAGGACGCTCTGGAGGACAAGGTGCAAAGAAGAGAACCAAAATGGGGTATAATTTCCCCATCAGGTAACCCATTGTCATGAACAAATAAACAAAATGATGCCTAAGGATAGAGAGAGTCAAAGGTTCCAGAAAGGTACAGAGTGAAAACCAGTCTCCTCCCATCCCAACTGGGTGCTTCTCCCTCAAGGTGGATACTGTGAACAGATCCTTATTGTGCCTTCTGTTTAAATACAGAAGTTTGTGTATACTCATGTTTTTTAAACTATTCCTTTGTAAGAATTAGCACAGGTCCTCCTGGTTCGCACCTGCTTTCCCCAGGTTGAGTGCAGGTCTGAGGCCAGCCACAGTCTTTAATGCTCACCCAGCGTTCCTGGCACGTCGTCGACCCCAGCAGTGTGCTCGTAAATGTGGAACCACCAGTTTCTGGGTGGTGAGGAGGGAAGCCCTAGTTTGTGGCATCTCTTCATTCCTGTGGTGTAAATACTCTTCCCACAGCTGATTTCAAGCTACCAACCAGCACGAATCACTGAAAGTGGCCCGGGCTCTGGGTTCTCTCTCTGGCTGATCACTGGTCGCCCCCAGTTTATTTAGCCGGTCCTCTTTTGTTGGGCACTTTGCCGTAATGAACATGCTTGTTTCTCTGTGTAGGTGACCTTCTGGGAGGGTACGTGCTCGGCGAGAGTATTGCATGTGATGCTCTGACATACACTGTCTGTTTCTACTTCAGAAAGTTCTCACCGGTGTCCCCCCACCCCCACTTTGGTGTGTGACTGCCCATCTCCCCCAGCACCAGGGGTGTGAGGCTGAAACATTTTGGCCCATGGCATTCAAAAAGTTGGTGGGTGTTTACTTTTACAGTCAGGAACAGCAATAAGAGGTTAGTGAAGATATTTTGGAATATACATGGAGGTTTCAAGAAGAAACTAGAGATCACTTGAATCCTATCCGCCAAGAGCCCCCTCATTAATATTCTGACGACATTCCCTGTAGCCAGACCCTGTACTTGGAAGAATCTTTTCCCCCCTCAAACAAACTGTATTTACTAAGTAAAAATTAATTTCCCTTTTGCCTGTTTATCAGAGACGTAAAGCAGAACCACCAGAATTCCTGAGCAGTGTGATACCGCCCAGGTCGCCACACCAAGGGGACAAAATGCCAGCCCAAAGCCCGACAACATGATGCTTTAGGTTACACCAGCTCAGCAACTGGCAGGGTCCCAGCCCCCAGCGCTGTCCGTCCATTCATCTCTTCACCCACCCGGGGCTCTGAGAACCTGAGTCTGCTTCAAGGGAACACATAGAACAAAATAGCAAAACGTTCGTTACCAAAAAAATTCACGTTTTAGGATATGTTGAGGGGATTCGAAAACAGACAAGGAGCCATCAGCCAATATCCCAGACCCCTCAGCTGGTTCGCAAAGTGCCTGAGGCTCCAAGAATCCTATCTCCTTGGAGAGGTTTCCTAAAACCAGGCCCTTCATGAGATGCCTTCCTGAACTTCTCCCGGGAACAGGGAATGAGCCATACATTCTCTCTGGGTCCTTGCTCACCCGGGTTTTAGGAGTCCTTGCAGGGGGAGGCCGAAAACTTGAACCTGTTGTCCAGTAATCACTGACACCCCGTGATGCCACCCCCTCCTACACACGCCTTTACTGTAATGAAATCTCTGTGATCAGAGAACAGTAAAAATGATCATGAGAATCATTATGGAAAGCCCCAAATTTTGCCTGCTTACAGTCCTAAAAGACCAGGTTCTTCGCTGAGTTTGAGGGGGCATGTTTCTTCCTCGAATCCTCCGAGGCTGGGCTGCTCTGGGTTGCCAGGAACCTTGGTGAACTGGGTTTCCTGTTCTGGGGTGGGCAGGCCCGGAGCCACAGGGAACGGGGTGTGTGTGTGTGTGTGTGTGTGTGTGATTTTGCACACTCAGGCCAGGCCCAAGAAGGAATGGGTGTCGGGCTTGGTGGAGAACGAGGATCCTGGTGCCCACGGTCCAGGGGACAGAGAGAGTCCTCCGGAGGCCAGGGGCACAGCTCTCTCCACAGCTGCTCTCAGGCTTCCGAGGGCTGGGGTTCAGCTGCACTGGCCCCACCCCTCAGCAGGACCCCACCGCTCTCGACAGCTTCTGCAAGGGGCGGACGTTGCACTCATTTGTGAGGGACCCCAAGACATCTCTGGACATCAACAAGACCAGACAGATTGCTCAGGAGATCATCAAGGTAAAGGGTTATCCACTTGGTTCCAGGGTTCCTGGCCATCCCCCTGCTTCGTGTCGTCTCTGAGCTGGGGCACCTCAAGGGTGGGACCCCATCTCCTTCCCTCTGTCTGCACCTCACCTGCTTGGAACCAGGAGCCTGACGCCCAGTCTGGGATGACGGATGAGTTGGTCGGGGAGGAATGCAGAAGGCTTTAAAGACACGTGGCCTGAGTTCGAATCTTGGTCACACCAGCTGTGTGACTTTGGGCAGGTCATTCAGTCTCTCTCAGCCTTGGCTTGCTTCCCCGTAAGATGGGAATTCCAACGTAGCCGCCCCCATTGGATTGGCACAAGAGTAGAGTGGGGTGATCTGCTGAGAGCACGTTGGGCCCAGGGCCTGGCACACAGGGAGAGTCTGCTAGAACTGATTAAGGGCGGGGTGAAAGCACCCATGCATTCTGCCTTCAAGAATCCAAATCCAGGTTGCATGAGGACTGGCCCTCAGGCAGCCTTTTTTCTTTCTTTCATCTTTTTTTGAGAGTAATGAAACACAAATGAAAGAAAAGCTTCTTTATAAGTTGCTTTCTTCAGCACCAAGCAGGCTTGGGTAAAAGCCAGACTGCTGTTGGGTCGGGGTTCCTCTTTTCTTGTTTTTGTTGAAAAGCTTCCTCTTACCAGCTCCCCCCAACTCCCTGTCCCCAGCCTCCACCCCTACCTTTCCTTTTTCTCCCTCCCTCCTTCCGTCCATTGTGTGTGTGTGTGTGTGTGTGTGTGTAGCAAGGAAAACACAAAAATCACAGTGACTTTCATGAGCAAACCAAGATTTCCACATGTCACCGTGTGGCTGAATTAATGAATTAAACTTTTAAAGCCTCAAAATTAAAATAGCACATTTATGCCTTCATCTGCACTAAGTCTCATTTCAGAGGAGTTGGGGGGAGCTGCTGGGTGTCACACCTGCTTCATAGTGTCCCCCAAACCATTGAGCCCTGCTCCCCTCTGTCTCCCCTGCTCTGCCCTCCTCCCCTAATTTAGTTTTCTCTCCTTATGGTCAGAACACTGGGGAGTCCGTGTCTGCTTGCTGACCGGCTGAGGTCAGATGGATGAGCTATCTGGAAGATTCTAGGGGCAGACAAGGAAAGCTACTCAGAGATTTTAGAACTGCAGAGCCAGAAGCTCCCTCTCTGCTGGCTTGTTTGCTTTTCCTCTTGCCGAAAAGCAATCCTCCTGAGCAATCTGTCTGGTCTTGCCGAAAAGCTGTTCCCCTTCCGCTGGAACCTTCTAAGCCACTTCCTTTTGTACTCATCTTTGGTGTTTTGAGGTTCAAAATACAATAACAGGGTCCTGAACTTGATCTAGGTTTGTGATTTGGGGGCCATTCTGGAAACACTGTGAAATTGTGGGAAGGGCGGGGAGTCTGTGCTCCAGACCTGGGCACTTGACATCTTTTTTTTTTTTTTTTAAAGATTTTATTTATTTATTTGACAGAGACACAGTGAGAGAGGGAACAGCTCCCCACCCTGAGCCCTTGCCTAGCCTGAGCGTAGAGGCTTGTTGTACAAAGCCTGATAGAGACCATGTAGATCGCTCAGTTCCTGTATGACTTAACACGGGGGAGGGTATCATCGCTCTTTATATACTTCCTGCCCCCCCCCCCAGCTCCCCACCCGTACCCATCTCCACACTTCACACTTGAGCCAAGTGTACGGTGCCTGTTGGACAGCCTGGTGACATGGACTAGCCTGGAATCAAACCTCAGCAATGCTGCTTGACTGCTGTGTGGCCTGGGGCGAGTGACTTCCCCTCTCTGAGGCTTGGTTTCCTCGTCTGTACAATGGAGATCATCCTACTGCATAGGATTTTGAAGATTACTTGAGCTGACTTGGGTAGGGCATCCAGCTCATGGCCCAAGCCCGGGTGGAAGCTGAATCATTGTCCCTCATCTTCCCGCCCCACTGACGGGAGGCTTGCTGTTTTCCAGGGCATGGGCTATCTACATGCCAAGGGCATTGTGCACAAAGATCTCAAATCCAAGAACGTCTTCTATGACAATGGCAAAGTGGTCATCACAGACTTCGGGCTGTTTGGCATCTCGGGTGTGGTCCGAGAGGGCCGGTAAGTTGGCTTTGGGTGTCTGCACAGAACAGGGAGGGGCTGGGCAGTGCCAGCCAGGCCTGGAGATACAGCTCTTACTGTCCGTTGCTGAGGGGCAGCCCTTCCTGCAGGAAAGGTCGGGTTCACTGAGGTCCTGTCCTGTGGTTCTGGTCCAGAATCAGGTTTGGGTGATGTTGGGGTCCCTCGCACATAGCACTTCATTTTCAGGCTGACCCCCATAAGAGGCTGGGTCCCCATTAGTTTGGGAAATGGGCAGATATTCTAGGAGTGACCTAGGGTTCACAAGCCCCGTGAGGAAGAGGTGATGAGGAAGAGCATCAGGTTTTATTTCCCCAGATCCTGAAGGGTCGGGGTAGGGAGAAAGGCCTCTCTCCAAGAATCTGGGGGGACCTCCTGGAGAGAGAGTGGCAGTCTGTCTGGAGACCGAGCCCCAGGCCAGGTTGTAAGATACACAGGCAGACTGATTACCTGGGATGGAGAATCCGCTCCCTGCTAATACTGGTTACTGATCCGTTTTCCTGGAAGAAGCTGGTTATCCCTCTTCCCCCCCGGTGCCTCTGCAAGTGCAGATAAGCGAGCTGTTTTCTGGGCCACGCATGGGTGGCATGCTGGACCTGGGGCATAGGTGTGCTAGGCAGCCTCTTGGCTGCTGGCTGAAAGGCCCCGTGCCCTTGCCCTGGCTTCTTGGCCTCCAGGCGTGAGAACCAGCTGAAGCTGTCCCATGACTGGCTCTGCTACCTGGCCCCAGAGATCGTCCGTGAGATGACCCCCGGGAAGGACGAGGACCAGCTGCCGTTCTCCAAAGCTGCTGACATCTATGCATTTGGGTGAGGCGGCCCCTGACGTCCCCCTTCCTGCGGCTTTGAGGCCAAATGTGGCCAAAAGAAGGGGTCCTGCTGGCAGAGGGGGGGTAGGGAGGGCAGGGGGGGTGTTGTTGTGCTCGGAGGCCTGGCTCTGCCGCTTGTTGGCTAAGGGACCACATCCTTGACTTTCTCTTCCCCCACTGTAAAATGCAGAGAATTACAGTACCTCCTATAAGGTTGCTTCACGAGGACTAAGGTGACTTAGGTGTCAGTCACTGACAGTCACACCTTCACTAAGGTGACTAAGGTGTCAGTCCCACCCAGTGCCCCATGCGGACGGTGACCAGAGCTCAGCACTGTCCCTCTGGGAGAGCCAGGGGTCCTGCCAGCCGGCCTCTAGTGCCCCACGAAGCTGACCAAAGAAAAATAGAATAGAAATAGAACGTGAGCCAGATACAGAATTTAAAGTTTGCTCCCAGCCACACTAAAAAAAGAAAAACAGATGAAATCTGTTGTAATAATGTGTCTAATGCAGTAGATCCCAAATGTGAGCTTTGCAACATGTCATCAAAACAAAAACTTAAGGAGTTCTTTTACTCCCACAAAGCTTCCAGCATCTGGTGAGCATGTTACAGCTGCAGCGCCCCACGGGTCCTCTTCCCACGTGTCCGTCGCTCAGTAGCCGCACGTGGCTAGTGGCCCCAGCACTGGGCGGTGGGGGGCCAAGGGAGAAGGCCAAGATGAGTCGAGAAAGGCGAGGGAGCTTGGAGAGGCTGAGTGAGGGCCTCACCCTGTAATCTCAGGGTACCTTCCCTTGGGGTGGTCTCTTCTTCTCCTGACGTGGGTGCTTGCGCTGGGCTTGGTGTTTGTTACTCCTCAAACAACCTTGGATGTAGGCCTGAGCCCCGCTGAGGTTCGACAGGATCTCTGTTCAGAGTTTGTGCAGCCTCAGACTTCCCACCATGATAGGTGCTTTGGGCCATGGGTCTGCTTGTGCCTGGGAGGAGCCACATACCGTGACGGCACGGTATTTCGGGAAGCCCGGGGGGTGGGGAAAGCTGGAGGAGGATGCTGGCTGCTCTGGCTGGGTTCCTGGCACGGTGGCAGCAGGAGGCCCCCTGGGCGCGTGAGCTGGGCCAGGTGGTTCAGCAGCTCACGCCGCACGGGCTGTCCCCACAGGACTGTTTGGTATGAACTGCAAGCAAGAGACTGGCCCTTTAAGAACCAAGCTGCAGAGGCCTTGATCTGGCAGATTGGAAGCGGAGAGGGTATGAAGCGTGTCCTGGCCTCCATCAGCCTGGGGAAGGAAGTCACTGTGAGTAGCTACCTGTTCTTGGGGAAGAAGGGCTGGGGGTTGGGGGGCGGGCACACGGCAGGTATGCCCTTCTTCATTCACTCACCTGAGAAATGGGGCCTGGAGGCAGAAGTATGCCAGGAGGGCCTCTTTGCTGTGTCCCTTATTACCCAACTATTTTTCTTTGGAAAAACCATTGTCTTAAAAAATAAAAAAAGACTGAAAAGAAATAAAGGTCATGGTTTTAATTGAGTTATGAGCTGAAAAAGATAGTAGAGCCCTGTATGTTACTTACATGAAAGAATGTAATAAAATCCTCCCGCACCAAACACAAATGGGGTTTCACGGTGGCATCAAATGAATCTCTCTCCAAAGTGTTCTTCTCAACTGTTCAGGAACAGATCGAAGTTTCCACAGCGTATTTGTCAAAATGCCAGATGGTAATACAGGTGCGGACCTTCTGCTTCCAAATACCGTCGGTGGTTTCTCTGCATTGCAGTTTACAAGTCTGCTGGCCCCAGCACAGTGGTACGAGGAACCCAGGGCTCCATGTTTTCAGTGCAGTCAACCATCCCATGTTAATCAGACAGGAGTGGGCCGAACAGGCACCAGCCCGGCTGTGAATACGCTCCAGGCAGCATCTGGGTGGCCTAGCACTGGGAGGGCCTGGAGGGACCACCCAGTGCAGGTCCAGTTGAGCTCTAACTGGGCTGTGAGCTTCTTGCTGAAGCCAGGGGATGGTGCTGGTAGGGTCACCGTCTGCAAATGGGGACAGGCGCGGTGAGAAGGGCACCTGATCTTCCTTCGGGACCTGACAGATTCTCATATTTTCCTCCTTTGACTGGTAGCAAGCCTTTAGGGCATCTTTGGAATGCTCATTTATGACATCATGCCCAGGGTGCTTTATTCCTCAGTAGGACCTGCCATCTGGTTGAAGTGCAAACTGCCTTACAGTTTGCTCCTCCAAGAATGACACCAGAATGCTGATAGGTAGTACCAACGCCAGGCTCTTCTTTGGCCAATTAATAGCATCTCATCTGGGCTGTTGAGCAAGGCAAGTGGGTGATGAGTGCCACCCCGGTGCTCTTGGCCTCCATCTTTCCCCTGGCACAGCCCTGGACCCCTTAGGAGGCTAGTGGTAGGAGAGGTTTAGGCTCCTGGCTATTGAGTCGTTCAAATAGCAGCTAAAGCAGCTACT